TATTTACCACTCAGTAAGACCAGCAAACTATTATGCTCAGCAAAGAAAAATGTTTTAGGTCTAAGTAATTATTTTCCCTGTGACCTTAAAATATCCCTGTTGTTAAGAATTTTCCTTGCACAGGGCAGTCTCTGTAATAGGATCAGGCAGTATGTTTCTCCATGCCAAGTCACTGAATGCTAAAATGATTTGTCATCTTTCGCCACAGGCCACTGCCTGACACACACATGCCACAGTCCAATATCTCGCCTGCTTTGACATCAAAGTGTCTTTCTTCGGCCATTAACAACAAGAAGAAAGGTAAACAATGGCAGAAACTTCCATTCTTTCTGGGAGAGTTTTAATTAAATAAAAGGCCTCAAATAGTTTAATGTGACTAAGGCAGGGGGGAAAACCTTTCATCACAAAATGAATTAAATCTATAAATCTTGCTTATTCTCTTCCCCTGCATTTTTTTAAATTTACTTCACAGACACATTATTTCATTCTCTGCTGAAGTTTATGACATTATATGATATCTCCTGGGCTTTCACAGTCTATCACCTTTTACAGCTCACTCTTAATGCCATAGGTCATAAAAGACAGAGTTCCTCTCATTTTACAAAGGGGAAAAGGTAAAGAAGTCCTATGTAAAACCTCCAGCTGCAGAAGGATTTTCACTTGCTGAAATATACAGTTGTGAATAGGTCCACTGAGGCTTTTCCTAGCAGCAACTCTGCCTGTTTTGAGGGATGAGTGATTTCTACAGCATGCCCCAGAGACCTGATTTCCCAAATCCAATCAGCAAAGCAGAAATGCAGCAAATGCTGTGGTCCAGGGTGGTACCAAGGTGCAGCTGGGTAACATTTTCAGGTTTGGTGGGGTTGTCTCTGGTCTTCCTATTTAGACGTAGTTAATCAGTGCTATTCATTGATGTGTCTTCACAGGACCATGTCAGGGACATATCACTTTTCAAGACAAGTCTCAGAACAAAAAGCTCACTTCTTGTCCATCCCATTTTGGAGGAAATAAAATGCAAAAGAACTGTATGTGCCAGCCAAAACCATTGCAAGATTCTTCATTCAAATGAAAGAGGTCCTTCCGATGGCAAGTGGCGTTATAATTATAGACTAGAAAAGAGCAAGATCAGCAGCTGCTGCTGCTGCTGCTGCTTGCGTTTGTTCCCTGTGTAACTGACAGGACAGAGTACTTGGCAAAAACAGACTTCCAGAAGTGGAAAGACATTTTAACCCCTGTTCTTGTCAGTCCACTCCTCTCAGGGCTCAGCAGCAGCAACCCCTTGCTTCAGGTTAAGGGAAGAGCAAGGTGATTTTTGCAGATCTGAAGGGGACTTGGTTAAGGACGTCTGAGAAAGAGGAAGGGTCCAGGATTTGCCTTCGGGCTTGGATTGCTGAATCAAAATAGCAGGTCAGTGGATACAGCGTAAGCTTAATGTGTTTTTATAGTTGGCTTAACTCAAATCTCACTTTCTCTTCTATGCCGTAAACTAAAACATAAGGTGAACAATGACAAGGGGTAAGTCTGCATAGAGGAACTATTTATTTATATATTCTGTAAAGAGCCTTTCATGGTCAGTTAGGAAACATTGATGGCTGTTATTTTGTATTGTGGTTTCTGTCTGAATCCTAATGCATCCTGAAATTCTCAGCCAGGCAAAAATCCCATTTACAATTGGGTTCAATATTGACAGAGAGGACACCCTTATATTTTTAGCTGTTTATGCCTAAGGTCTTCTGATGATCTTTGCAAAAGTGGAATAATATATAACTCACATTTCAGTCTGTGCTTGAGAAAGTTTCAGAAAGGAAATAAACACTGAGTAAAAAAAAAGAAAACGCAGCATCATAGATATGAGTCAAGGTCTCTACAGGCATCAAATGAGCATAACTTGTGTTATGTCCTCAAAACTCACAAATCCATACCAGCAAAAAGCCTAACCCTATATCTGCTGATGAATTTAAGGGCAGCATGATAATTAGGAATGTTTTTCATTACACTGTGCCTGTGGTATCTGATCTAATTTACTCTGTCCTTCTTCAGCCCTGGCCAAAAGAGTGCTTAGGAAGGAATGTGCTGGGGGGCATCGTTATGCTTTGCTCTTCCTGTCCATCTCAGTTTTAGCTTTTTAATTTCCTGTGGCCATAAGTAATGTAGGAAGGACTCTCTGCCAACATGCTGCCTATGAACCAAGGGCTTGGGACCACTCTGCAAGAGCCAGAGTCAGCCCAAGGCTTTACTCCAAAACTTCCTGTTGCAAGGGGAGGCCATACCTAAATGGCTGTGTTGTTGTCAGAGAAAAAAAAACCACAAATGCAGATTTAAATTTGTGTTTGCTGTGTTGAGAAATCTAACCAGACAAATGCATAGCTGTCTTTCATAGCTTTGTATAGTCAAAACTGTTCTGTAATCACCTAATCTGACCTAATGTATATTTTAAGACTTTGAATTATATTATCCTGAAGTACTTATATAAACCCAATGATAAATGTTGGGTTCTGCCATTTCAGAGGCAGAAAGAATAAGAAGGGGCATCCACTATCTTCCAAGAATTTCTATTCAGAGTCAAGGGCATTGAGTAAAGTGCTAAGCGATGGCTGGAATGTGATTAAATGAAATATAGTTGCTACAAGCAGACAAATTGCATTTGGTGGATAAAAATCTTCTCCCAGTCTAATGCATGCAGAAATATTCTTAATCCTGATTCCTGTTATCACTACAGCTCTGCATTTGTGACCAAAGCCAATCTACTAGGCCTTGCAAGACAGGATTTGCTTCAGATCTGTAGAGAAGGTAGACCCACAGATGTCCAGCTTAGCTACTGACCAGTTTTTGGCACTTTCCACTTTCTGATAGCTGGGAAAAGGAATCTTTCCTGAACCTCCAATGCAGAAACCGAGAGTCATGTTTTTGACACTAATGGCTGCCTTCCTGTAGAGCTGCAGAAGCTCCAAGGGTGTTGCAAGCAATCTTTTTTCCTCTGTGGCCCACAAGAGATGCCCAAATACCAGGAGAGACCAGCAGAACCCCTCAGCCCCTGCCTGTCTCAGTTATGTGAATTCTTCCCAAAGGTCATCTTCTGTCCTACAATTTGCCCTCAGCTTAAAGATCCTATACAAGAGGGTGACTATCTAGTCCCCTGTTCTGATATTTGGCTGCCCCCACAGTTAGCAGTTTATATTTTGTTTCATCCTGCATTTGTCTAACTTCATCCTCTCATTGTAGCCCTGTGTCGTGCTGAGGGTCTGGGTTCTTGCCAAGCTACAACCTCCCATTATCAGACATCTTTCCTGGATCCAAGTCCCTGCTGGAGATTTCCCACTGGCAATTTCCATTACAAAGTGGATATTAATGGGGGGATAGAGGCACACTTGTTGGTGGCATGGCTTAAACACATACTCCATACATCAATGGGCAAGATCTAAAGGCTCCTATAATAGTTCCAGGAAACACAGTATATCTTTGAGCATATTCTTTAACCCCATTCCTCCCCTATAGCCCAGCCACAGATTTCTTTCATTGTTCATAAAGCCCCACTTTTGCTGGAGAATTGACATCTTTGCCTCCATTTTCTTAAGCATTGCATCCTAACCACAAGATTTTTAGCAAACAGGACTGCATTTCCGTGCATGCCAGTCAGACAAGCTGGCTCTTGCATTGAACTCCTTAGAGTACAACAATGATGACAAAAAATTTAAAGGTCTGTGCCAAGGCTCAGGAAAAGAAAAAGTATCATCTGGATTCTAAAGACCAAAACCCATGCTTTTTTTTTTTTTAAGAAAGAAAAAAAAAACCAACACAAAAAATAATCTTCAGCCCCATGCTGGCAAATATCGAGCAATCATTCTGCAGAGGAAAAGAGACAGCCTGTCAGCAATACAAGGCTTATAGTGTCTTTTCCCTGCTGATTCCCTTGGTGACTAAAATAAAAACTGGCACATTTACAGGTGAATTTTAATGGCTTACATTATGCTCTGCATCAGAGACACAAAAATATTTGTCATCTATTAACTAAGAGTTCAGGTTTTTCTCCCCCACCCCCCCCAATAAATTTGCTACAGTGGCATCACAAAAATATAGACAAGAATAATATTTGTGATACACAGTAACTTTCTTCAGATTTTGTGATTGTCTTAATTACTCTCTTTCTTGCATGCTGTATAAAACTGTTTTCATTCTCATTTGGAGCTAGGATTTGTTTTGTAAGCATATGAAAGTTCCTGCAGCATCTCCCTGCACTGGGTAAGCAAGTACCAAACCCAGCACAAAGTATTTACCTGTGTATTTTCAGTTGTACTTTAATTACACTGTGTCTCACACTACCTACCTGAGCAGCCTTAGGGCTTGTTTTGCAATGCTGAAGTATTGAGGAGCAGTCTAGCTGCCAAGGAGAGAAGTAACAGCATTCCCCAGCTGATTTCAGCTGCTGTCGTAACTGTTAATGAAGGAGGCAGTTCCCAAATCTCATTTGTTTTTCAATGATTATAATTACCACAGCCAACTAAAAATACTGGTCGGGGATGTACATGCATTTGTGGAATTTAGCGTCACTGCTGTAACCAAGAAGTTGAAAATTTTGAAAAAAATGTCAAGCAACTTTGTTTCCTATTCTTTGCTCACACTAGAGTGGAGCAAACTGAGTGTAAGCAGAGACTGCAGAGGTGTAATATGTCCCAGCCACTGCCTCCCAGAAAGGTGGCCACATTCAGTGCTAACTGCTGGGTTTGGGTGGTCATTGACATAAAGCCCAAATACAGCCTTGCACCAGTCAATCTGCAGGTCTCAACAGGGCTTGTAACTGCAAGATTTTTTTTTTCCCCTCTCTATAGATATATGAATACAAACACCATGTATTTATGTACACATATTTTAGATGTTTAAACTTACATGTATATCCATGTATCTATCTATACAAGGGTACATTCAGGTTAGGATACGCTGTCTAAAATGTTGTTGGTGTCCTGCTTCTCTTCTACTGTTTCTAGGCCCAGCCTACCACGACGATGACAGTCACTTATTCCAGCAAAGTAGCAAATGCCACTTTCTTTGGATTTCACAGATTACTCCTAAGGTGGAAAGGCAGCATCTACAAATTGCTGTACAGAGAATTTCTTGTTTTTGCTACTCTTTACACAGCGATAAGTGTATTATACAGGTACACTCTTTCCAATTCACATCTCATTAAATGTTATACTGAAGTTTCAGACTTCCTAGAGTTAGGCTGATGAATGATGGGGGGAGGTTACCTCTTTACTTATTATCTTTTTTTGGACATTTTCCAATGTGCTTACCTTTCCATATTTACTTTAAGGTTCCAGAGGAAATATGTAGAGTGTCGATACTGTTTATCATCTTCAGCTGATTATGCTTTTAGCCTAGCATTGAGCAACCATCCTACTGAAGTTAGACTAAATAAAAATTAAGATCAAGCTTAGGTTATACAGCTTTTGTCACTCTGACATTGAGCTGTCAGTTGTGAGAGAGCCTCCCTGCTTTAGATCAAAGTGCCTCCCTGCAGAACTCTGTCTTTGGTTGCTCAGTGGGAATTTAACAACACTGAGGTAATCATTTTGGAGTGAAGTTATATAGCCAAGAAAAGCAAAGTTTTGCTTCAAGCTAGGAAGGCATGCAAACTTGATTTTTAACCTTCCAAAGAACCAAGTAAAACTGCATGGAAGCCAGACATGGTTATTATCTGTGTGTTACCCAGCACCTGGCAGGAACATATTACAAGAAGAATTGCTTTTTTCACCAAGGTGTGAATTAAACACTGTATGACAGATGCAATGCATCAATTAGTACAGTGAAACTTTTAATTGATGAAGTACATTACATAGAAGTATTAAAATTATGGTTCAGTTCTTAAAGTGATCTCTAATTAGAGCTCTGCTTTTTATTGGAAACAAGGAGAACGTGAGCTCCAGTTTTTCTCTGATTAATCACTATTTTTTGTTCAGTAATCTATGCCTGTAAACAAAGAAAGAAAATTATAGCATTAATATGTAAAGGAACATCCAAGTCTCACAGTTTTTTAAATTAATCTTGTTTTATTGAAATGCCAGGCAATTGAGGACCATGGTAAATACACCACAGAAAGCTTTCTATATGTGCTCCAGTTTATTGCACAATTGTAAGCAAAACCCACCAAATATTTGTTATATGTTCCATTTATAAGAAGTTAAAGAATAACTGTAATACTCACCTATACAAATAAAAAAAAAAAATTATACTGAAGCTTGTTGTATTTCATCAGACACCTTTTCCTGTGGGCAGAAACTACTACCATGGCCCATTTGGTATCATTTGGTGAATATTTTCCTGATTGCAAAATACAGTTGTATTTTAATCTTGTGGAAAAGAAAACTTTCATAGGAGTAAGAATTTAAAAACTGCTGCAACAATGTAACGTTTTCAAATCAGAGGAATTTGATTGGTAATCTTTTGCAATTCAAGCAGACCTGAGCATTTCCATTAAATACCACTCTGGAAAAGGAGACTAAGCTCTACTTGCAGACTTAGAGCTTGCTGTCATCTTTGGTCTGTATGGGACAGCAAAATTTTCCAGACATATTGATCCAATTAGTAGTACCATTCAGATTAGTCCTGAGAAAACTACAAAAACCAGGGAATAATACTGTTGCTTCCTCCAGCTTCTTTAATACTTGCCAAAACTGTTTGGACCTTTCCCTTTAAGAATTTGCTTGAAGGCATTAGCCAAGGTTGCTCCCCAGTGTACATATCTGATTATTTATACATGCTTGCACTTAGTAGCTAGTGCCAGAATATTATGGAAGGACAGATACATTTTATTTTTGCTGCAGATTTTTTCTTACAGGTAGCCAAAAACGGTTCTTTGAAAAATTATCAATTTACTGTGACAAATATGCTGAACAAATCCCAGTAACTTTTGTGCTTGGTAAGTACCAGTTAAATGTGAAATCACTCTTCAACTATGTCTCTGTTCAGGCATTTTGTGAATGTTGGTGCATGGAAGCATTTCAGAGCTGAGGGGCATGTGGGAGGTTAGAGGTTCACAATAGTCATCTGCTTCCAACACCAACAGGCCTTCTCAAGTTCGAGTTGCTTTCATCACATCAATGTTTAAGCTCATGTTTTTAATATACTAACAAAAAAGGTTTCCATATATCTAGATCATGCCCACTTACACTGATACCTTGTACGTGATCTCCCAATGAAATAAATTTACCCTGAGTGTCACTACACAAGAGGAAATTTGGAAATTCATGGGTATGAGATACTCAGCTGGAATGTACTGTTACATTGCAATGTCCATTAAATAATTAGTATTTATTGCATCCTGGGTTTTGACATGGCTTACTGCATTTATTCTGGGAAATATAGCAGCTTAGTGATATGAACAACACTCTGCAAACTAAAATTAAAGTAACTGAAATCCTGATAGGCACTGGACTTTTTTTTCCCTTCTAACCCTCAGGTTTCTATGTAACTTTGGTGGTGAATCGCTGGTGGAACCAGTTTGTGAACTTGCCTTGGCCAGATCGTCTGATGCTGCTCATCTCCAGCTGTGTGCAGGGCAGAGATGAGTACGGGCGCTTGCTCAGGAGGACTCTCATGCGTTATGTGAATTTAACATCTCTGCTGATCTTTCGCTCTGTCAGCACAGCTGTGTACAAAAGGTTCCCCACCATGGACCACGTGGTTGGAGCAGGTACTGCACTTTGCCTCCCCAAAATTCCTTTCCTTTCTCTCAGAGGTGGGGGCTCAGGGAGGGAAGGAGCCAGCCTCATTTTTTCTTTCCTGTGGCCCCACGTGTGCCTCGTACTAACCCACCTCAAAGCAATCACCTTTTTGTTAATGCCTTAGATGATATAACCTTAAGAGTGCATCTTTAATGTTCTTAAAGTCTTTAGCAACACTATAGAAATCAAACTAGCTTGACAGTCTTATGCAAATCTGCTTTCAGACCCCATGGAGGGGCCTGCCTCAAACACTCAGGCATATGGAGCAAGTACAACATTCTCTGAAGTACAAAAAACCTAAAGTTGCAATATAGTATGATGTAGTAGGAATGGTGACTTGTTATATGGCATTGCCCCAATGTCTGGGATATAACTTGGTCTGGGGTATCAGAGGCTGATCTCTGTAGGCACTTCACAAGTACAGCTTTATCCCAATTTTATTTAAGTAGACTGCATTTTTAATAGATTGCACATTTTAAGTGTTGTGATTTACTTAAAAAACTCCTCAGCCCCAAGGGTTTTTTCTTTGTATTGAGAAACTTACTTTAAACTTAGTTTTTTCAATGATAACTAAACTAAGTATTAAACATGTCTTTGCTTTCTGTTTCTTTCAATAACACAGTGAGTGTAATGATGGTGAAGAGAGCTCAGTCGTGTAACACTTTAATTGTCTCTCAAGAACTGACTGCTCAGTATTTAAAGGCAAGGTGTGGCACTGTGCCTTCTGACTGGCATGGTCAGTGTCAGAGGTAGAACAGCAGTGCAAAGACGTGGGGATCTGTTCCAAATAAAAGTCATGTTTTCTACTGAATGTCTTGAATTTCTTAAAATTATTCCTTTGGCAGAGATTAGTAAGCAAAGTTTTAGCAAGTTAAAATATGCAGTGTAATATACATATACACATTTCAAATATGTGAGAGAAGCTTTAGATATTTAAAAAAAAATGCCAGGCAGAATGTACCAATCTTACTTTTAAAAAACCCAAACCATTTATGTAGGATTCATTGAATTTTAAAGCTCTCTTGTTTGTGCTGTGCAACAAAACTGTTTACCTGTGCCAGTGAGAGGTCAAGGAAGCTTCTGTCCTGTCCCCAGCAATCTGCTTCTATTATGCACTGGAAAATTACAACATTTCCAGGCAGCTAATCCAGCTCTGCCTCCCTATTGCTAATGACAATCTGTTCCAAAGAGACAGAATGTCACAGCATTGTACCAAAATTGTAGACTGGAAAGCAAGTTTTGAGCGTTGTTTTTTTTAACAGTGAAAAATCTTCTACTATAAACTGTATAAAAGTATAGACAGTGTAGCCAGCTCTGGATACCAGCACTTTTTTTTTTTTTTTTGTAGGTTTTAATTCATATTGTGCTGCAGAGTTTTTATTGATGCAGGACTGAGCTTTTCAGGGTATATTTTGCTCCTGTTAATATCCAGTGACTTAGACAATACTCTGCAATCATCCCCTCCCTAGCTCCCTGTGGCATGGCATATCAGACTGCATGGGAAGGAGGCATTTAATATGAATGTGAGCAGCACAAATCTGATACTTACAGCACAGTCATCATTGAAACAACTTATGATGATTTTGCATTTTGCTGTCAAACTGTGAACTGCTGTGACATAACTATTGCTACACACTTCTCTTTTCAGCAAATGAACTGCTTAAATTCATAGATTTTAAATTTGAGAACAGTGCCACAATGATCTAGTCTGACTCATCCATAACACAAAGCACAAAAGCTTGCTAGCAGCATCCTTTATCATGCTGCAATTTCTGACTGAGCTGTAATACCTTCTAGGAATGTAATCAGCCCAGATTTAAAATTCAGATGGGTGTACTGGAGACTACACTGCATCCTAGGTGACCAGACGTTCACAACAGTAAACTTGCTGTTGAAGGGTGACATCTTATTCTCAGCCTGAACTTGCACAGTGCTATCTTCTATTCACTGGATTTTGTAATAGGTTTGGGTTCTTCTTTTTTTAATTAGAAGAAAACATATTTTTTCTCTCAATAGTTACCTGTTAGCAGACTGCATAAAGGCTTGAATGAAACTGAGGAGCTTCACCAACTGTAGGCTCCTCCTATAGGATACAGTCTTGAGTGCTGGGCCTTCCTTCTGACTCTTTTTCATGTTTTAACACTCTTTATGGAGCTGTAGACAGTAGGTCCATGTGGATTCACTCCTTTATGATGCTGACTGCTGGTGCACACATGCTGTAAGTGTCAAATGCCCAGCAGCTGTCCTGAGCACAGCAATTGTGTTGGCTGCAAGGTGCAAGGGGGAAGCTGGATGTTCAAGAACACAACTGTTAAAAAACAGAGTAATGAGTGAGCAGCTGAGCAGAGAGCACCCCAAAAGAGCTGATGGGAAACACTGAAGAGAAACATGAGGTATGAGCTCAGCAACATGAGTATCTATGAGTGACTGAAGACTGCAGTCCCAAATCCTCTACTGGAAGGAAGCACCTTAATTAATCCTTTCCCACATAACACAGAAGCAGAAAATGAAAATTTTATCTACTTGATCATGATCCTTCTTCTCTAACCACTAGTATTAAAAATATTTAATATGAATTACCTGAACCAGTCTTGTCTCAAACCATTGAGTTTTGACAGGAGAACTGAATACTCTTTGAATCACTCATGGGAGAGCATGAGTGATTTTGTCCCAGTCAGGCTTGTGTTCTCATCAATAATTTTCCTGTAATATCTCTTTGGCTGACAATGTGATACTGTTCACATCAGTATCCTTTGATTGTTTATTGATTGCTCTCCATGTCACTCTTCTGATACTTTCACAAGGATTCAGTGCCCTGTCATTCCTTAGATCATCCTTTTCATGATCCTGGCACAATGTTTGACAAATATTTCCCATTTTCTAGAGCTACTTCAGTCTTCCGATGCTTGTCAAAACCAGTATTCTTGTTTATAGAGTTTCTTGGTTAATTCTTTGAATGCTTCTAAATAAAAATTGCATGACCATATTTAGAAACCATGCAATTTTAATAACTGAAATTTTATATCCTCCCTTATATTTAATGTAATATAAAGTGTTTCCTTACCACTGCAAAAACAGTGAGATATTCTGAACTGCATGTTGTCTGTATTGCCAGCAGTAAGAGCAATCCAGAATTAGTATTTTCTGCAATAAGTATACTAGACATTATTAATATTAATCAAAGAGAATATTTAATCAATATTAGCACAAAACTTCAATGCCAATTTGAACTTTATAATTTCAAAAATCAGATTTTGTTGAGCTTTCTGAACAGAAGGTGCCCAATTTCAGTGGAAAGCTGAACTGATCCTTGCTGTTCTTTGTGACCCCTTCAGGCTGAGTCTTTCCAGAGCCTCCAAATGACTTGCATCCAGTGTTTACTCCAGACTCAATTTTTTGTTTTTCTGTGTGTCTGTTTCAGCCTGACAGACACATGTTTTCCTGTCCTGTAATAAGCAGGCTGGCTGGACAAAAACTAAAGGCAGCCTGAAAGACTGACTTTTAGGAGTCAGGAGCCATGACTAGCAGGTTAATTTGTCTGGTTGCCTGATTATTTCTGTGAAGTTAATGATGAGAAATGCAAAATGCCCAGGGAACTTTTAAAAGCTTTATCTTATTCTGTTCTGAAATTCTATGATACTGCATGAGCACTGTCTCTTGCTGCTGAATATTTCCTTTTCCACAGTGTCTTCTGTCCTGTCCTTGCCTTTCACCTCCTGTGTAGGTTTGTTCCAACTGTACAATAGTGACATTTTCCTCAAAGACAGAATATTTAAGATCACTGTGTTTAGCAAATCTCCTTTAACTTAACTCACATTTCTATGCATCACAACTGAGTTTATATATATTTATTTGTTTGCTGTGTCATGTGTCATTAGCAATGTTAGCCATAATGAACATATTCTTAGTTACTCGTTGGAGCCTACTGTCAATTCTCTTACTGAATTTTCAGCATTCAAACTTGTAATTGGTTGGCTGAGCCCCCTATTTTGGGGCTGTCATGTTACTAACTTTGTCTTATTTTAGAGCTAATGTCAATACAACAAAAGAAGCTTTATACCCACATGATAGATGTCACATACCTGAGCAAAAACTAAGATCCTTCAAACATGACAATTGCTCCAATCCCAGAAAATACAGGATTTGGAGAAAGGAAAATGTGAATTTTCTGAAGTTGTTTTTGTCAAAGCCTGGGTGGAAGGAGGACAGCAGAGCAGAGCTTTCTTCCCCTGAGGGGTAGAGGTGTTGCTCCAAAAGGCAGCTGCTCCTTTGCCAGTCCCAGGCAGAGATTGGCTCTGGTGCAGGATTTGTCACACACAGCCCTGGCTCCCTGGTTCTGTGACCTTGGACTTGCTTGCAGCAGGAGGAAGCAGGGCTTCACAAGGCAGGAGAACTCTTCAGGAAACCTAAAACCTTCCCAGCTCCCCAGCAAGGCAAATTGCCAGGCAGAGAGCATCTTCAGCTTGCAGCCCCACAGCATGTCACCTGGCCCTGTGTCCCCTTAGCAGCGGGATTTCTGTGCATGATTCCCTCTCCATCACTTTGCATGCCTTCATAACCCCAAAGAAAACATCAAACAATCTGTCAGGGAAGAATTTCACTGGCAGAAGGCACACACTCTGTTGGGCTTTGTTTCATGCATGCACTTGTATCCTCTGTTGCTTGCTCGCTGCTTTGCAGATATAACAAAAAATTATCAAAATCAGAAGGTCATGTAACTGCCCTTACAATATGTCCAAATGCTTCTGAAAGCTATCATTGGTGAAAAATGTTTCTTGACTGATATGTCTAATTCCTTATTTTTCTGAAAGCAGAATATGAAACTAGAGAGTAATTTGTACAATTCTTAGTATTCTATGTATCTACCATCTGTCAGCAGTTAGATATAAGACCACAGTAATAATAAATTATTGCCTATATTGGTAAAGAGGAATTTAACATGGGAAATTAATGCAAAAAGAAGTTCTTTCAAGCAAGATCTGTCCTGAATTTTTTTTAAGAAGAGGTTACTAGTTAGAATTATAAGTTGTGTTTAAAAGAGTTCTTTGCAAATAATACATAAACAGATAAAAACATATTCCAAATGTATAGAATCAGTAGTACTGAAAGCATAGAATAAATGAAGGTTGTTTGGGGTTTTTTTGGGTAAATAGGTTTTATGACAAAATATGAAAGAAAAATTTTTGATGATCTTAAGTCTCCCCACCTGAAATACTGGGTCCCATTTGTCTGGTTTGGAAATTTGGCATCAAAGGCACGAAAGGAGGGAAGAATTCGAGACAGTGTGGACCTGCAGACACTGATGAATGTAAGTAAAAAAAGGAAATCTACAAAAAACTAATCTATTGTTTTTGAAATTGCTATGTTGCTTTTCACTTACATAATTGGTTTTATTTAGTATGCACAGATCTCCTGTGTCATCTAAATGACCTTACTCAGGATTTATCCCACTTTTCTTTGTGTACCAATGCACACTTAAACACACAGCATCATTCACTGGGATTCTTTTTAATATGACTAAGAAGGTATTGCAAAAAGCAAAAAATTGATGAGTAAAAAATTATTGTAACAGCACTCTAAATTCATACTTGTCCCGTTGCTTAAAATATGAAAAATGAGAATAATTTGGCATTTTGAAGATTTTATTATCAGCTTCAGAGAATATAATCTCCCTGAATATTTCATTATGTGGTAAAATATCATTTTTATGATGTAATATATTCTCTTTCATGTATCACTACACTGTGAATAAAATAGAAGCAGAAGATGAATTGTGAAGAAATATGAAGTATACTAAGCACTCCAACTCCATAAAGTCAATATTCAAATGGGGTGCTGGGTACAGTTATAGTATCAATTTATATATACTTTACTTTATTTTCTCCCTATCCTTTTATATGTGCAAAAATAAACTGCAACAAAATATTTACAATTCAGAATTGTATCCCATGCAATTTTATTTTGTTGTGGTTTCTTGTTGGTTGGGTTTTCTTCTTTTTCCCTTTTAGGAGATGAATAAGTACCGATCTTGGTGTAGCCTTTTGTTTGGTTATGACTGGGTTGGAATTCCACTGGTCTATACCCAGGTACTGAGCTATTATCCTATAGAAAGTTCAAAACACAATTTCCATAAAAGGGGGGTTGGTACCAAACATTCATGATATAAAACATTCATAGTCCCAACCTGAGTCTCTGAGATACTGAGTACTGGTTCACTTGCACAGGATCATGGAGGCCTAGCTAACTATTTAAGGCATATTTAATGCAGAGATGTTTTGAAGATCTTGTGTAATTTGGAAGAGGGGAGGGAAGCACTGAAATGTTCTTCTGTTTCCTGAGTGTTCTTCCTGGCCATAATTATTCCTGTGGCCTCTGTATTTGCAATCCCTCCTACAGATTTGTAAATTATATGGCAAAAGGCAGACAAAGGCCTTTGGGTATGGGTTGGCCTATGCATAGGATTGTATTTGTTCATGATTTCAATGAAGTTCTGTTCTTTGCAGGTTGTTACTCTCGCAGTCTATACCTTTTTCTTTGCCTGCCTGATAGGGCGTCAATTTTTGGATACTGACCAAGGGTACCAGGGACATGACTTAGATATTTACATTCCAATCTTCACACTGCTGCAGTTCTTCTTCTATGCAGGATGGCTCAAGGTAAGCTGGCTTTCTGGACAGGTGAGGGGGGAACCCTCCCTGGGGGGCAGGTCCCCTGTGACACACGTGTAAAATCTCCAGTGAATACTGAAGTTACACCAGAGGTGAATTCAGCCTGAAGTGTTCTGTGGTCATATAGAAATAGCATGCAATGCATTTTTAATTCCACCTGACAGACTGTATGGTAAGAAATGGTGGTGAATGTGAAAGAGCCCATTTTAGTAGCACCAATGCCACCACAACTCCAAGTATTACTCCCACAAGGTCTCTGGACTTGAACTATAAAGTGACAGAAAAGAGATTTTAAAAACCCTTTCTTCCACTCCATTCTGCAATGGGGAGCTATGGCTGCAGACCTGGCATCAGCTGAAAGGGACTGAATGATACTTTCTTCTTATGATCAAAGCTGGAACTGTCTGCTGTTAACCTCATCAGATGCAGGCAATTAAAGGTCCCCAGTTCCAGAAGGCTATGAAAGAGTGACAGACAATATTGGCTAAAACTCCACTGCATAAAAATGTTCATTAAGAAGAAGAGTTGTAGAGGAATTGGATGCTGCCCATCAGCCCATTGATGACTGCTGGCTAACATATCACAATCAATCTGATAGTTGAGTAATTAAGCCACATACTTCAAGGTGGTTCTCTCCTCTGAAACAGACTTGCTGGAAAAAATTTTCATTGGGGCCCACGTACATTAGATTTCCTTTTGTGTTTATCAATCATGGATGGAAACATAGAGCTAACTTTTCTGTTAGAATATAGATTGAACACAGTTGGCCGTATACATGCCCTCCCACAGCCAACTCTGAAGGGCAGAGTAGAGAAAGCAGCACACCAAGCTGGCAGATTGTGAGGAAAAGTAAAGTGTGTGCAGGACAAGCTACTCTAGTGTTGTGTCCTAGGAAATGAGGGGGAAAGGGATTTTGCTGCATAGCCTGGATGGGAGCGGGAGAGAGAGAGGAAGGGAGGCTGGTACAGTGAAGGCAGCAACTTCTGGAGAAAAGTGAGGCTTTATCTGTAGTCAGTGTCTTCCCATTATACTAGAGGGTTAAAAACTGTAAGCTGTTCCTCTTGACTGCCCTGCTGGTGCCCCTGAAATGGGTTTTCCTTCTTCAGCAACCAAGGATGTTTATAGCATCTCCTCCTATAGTTAGGCTCAGAGCTTCCAGCCATCTCCTGGCTGTGGCAGGTATGAGATGCCATTGTAACTGAAAAATATTCTGCATAAGGAAATGAGAGAGAGGAGAAGTTTTGGAAGTTAATTTAATATCAGCAGAGTTTCCTCAGACTGGGGGTTCATCCAAACCTTCAGCGCCCCAAGTGAGGATATTTTTTTCTTGAAGGTTACAGCCAGTTTCCTGCTGAGAGTGTTGGACTTTGGCTGCCAGGCACCAAAAAGGGCCCTGAGGTATTGACTTCCAGTAACTTGGCAATTCCTCAGAAATAATGGATAAACTGAGCTCATTCCTTGGCCTCAAGCCTGGTCTGTAATACCTATAATAAAGGGCCAAAGTTTCCCATTACATGAGACACTTCTAAATCCCCATTTTCTTTACAGGGACAGATGAACTGCCCAAATACAGAGTTTAGTTGTCCATCACTACATTCTTTTCTGGAGAATAAAGTCATGTCTCACATGCCAGGACCAGGTCAGCCAAAAGAAACCACCACCACTATTTGCTCTGTCCCAGTCCTCACTTTTTTAAGCTCACATGATAGGTTTTATGGTGGACTTTTGGGTGGTGGTCCACTGGCTTACATGAAGCTGATCCATGTCTTCCCTGGAGAGCTACAACACTGACTGTTCTGGTTCCTCCCTTTTGCAGCACTTTCATAACTGTACCCAGAATTTAATGCCATGTGAATGAGTGTGAGCAGAGGTGACCCCTGTCTCCTTTCATTGCTCCCACCTTACAGGTGTTTTTGTAGTGTTAATCTACTCAGCAGTTCTTTTGTTGTGTGCCCATGCTGGCCGGGGAGGTGGTGGCCTCAGAGAGCCAGCAAGTGCTTATCCACAGGGACAGTCTAGAGGCACACAGGAGAAATATGTAGGGACCAGCTGCCTTACAGCTATAAGTTATTTAGACATAGCTGTCCATGGTGAGGTTAATGAACAGGACTGTTTATTAAACAGTTGCTTTACCCATATCCACATTAAACCAAGGACCCTACTGCTGCTCCTGTGCATGGCCCTGGTGATCACAAGGAAGGCTTGGAAGGGTCATCAAGAATGTGATCAGCTTCAAAACCAGGGCTTAAAAAGATAAACAGAAGGAGAAAAGAATAGAGGGGAGAGGATATTTAATGTCAGTGTACCAAGAAACTAGGAAATAGAGAAGCACTCTGCATTTCCTAAATTTTTTTTTTATTTAACCTTTTTTTTCCCTCCATCAGCAGTATGTGCTTACTCTCTACACAATGTACTTAGTAATCATGGGAGTGGGGGGCAGTCTCTGTGGGCTTTTTCACTGGATATGGGGAGCCAGAGACAGTACCTTTCCAGACTAGCTCCCAGACTAAGGTACCTCACCATAAATGTGTCTGAGCTCACTGTTTGATTGCGTCCTCCATGGGATGAGCTTCTGCCCTGCAGTTTAACCACTTCAGGTACACAAACCCAAGCCAGCAGGCTGAATTAAAGATAGGTTCTGTCTCTGGGATTTGGCTAGCATGATGCAGAGTTAACTTGAGTCAAGTTTTTTGTATGCTGCTTTTCCTCAAAAGCCCTGGAAGGTTGCCATTTGGGTTAATGCTGATAAGTAAGTAGGGGCTGAGGGCTGAGGTGGAGAGATGAGCCCTACTCCCTCCAGCAGACTCCAGCTACAAGGCTTGGGAATACTGACCCCATGGACTGGTGGACTATTGCAGACAACAGTGCAATAGCTGCTAAACCATTCATTTAAATGAGCCAAAGCCAACAGTAAGGAAAAGTAATGACTATTGGATGTGACAATTACCTTGGCCCAGACACGTCTTAGCTCCCAGCAGGCCAGCACTGACAATTGTGATTGACAGCACCAGCGAGGCACAGAGATATGAATCTATAGCGAAAGCAAGCTGCTCCTTGGCTAGGCTGGCAGAACAATCACACAGGAGCTAAAGCTATGATTGTAAGTGACAGGCAGGGAGAGAGAGAAAAATCCAATCCTACTTTCTCTACAGCAGTAGTCCTGACATGGCATGCCAGCCTCTTGTCACTGTCTCGTTTTCTTTCCAGGTCGCTGAACAACTCATTAATCCGTTTGGAGAAGATGATGATGATTTTGAAACTAACTGGTGCATCGATAGAAATTTACAGGTTGCTGTTGTTATTTCTACTTCTAGCTTTACTCTACCATAGGTTATCATTATATCTAATGCTATGTCCTTAATTGAGGAATAAATCAGGGCAACAAGTGCTAGCAAAACATATTCTTTCCCTGAAGGATCACCTGTGGCTGAGATCCACAGAGTTTGTTTGCACAACCTAATTCATCTTGATTTTGGTATTTGGCCTTTACAATGCCTGACTAAACATGCAAACAGCTGACCTTAAATTATAAAACCACTCTATGCCTGGAAAAACATGTAATGTAGGTCAATCCTGCAAAATCCAAAATTCATTCCCACATAGATAAGAACACATTTTGCTAATCTGAATGTCTCGTGATTAAAATATTGTATATGAACCTTCCTTTAAAGGGAAAGGCAGCAAAAATAGTAAAAACACTAAGCAGGGCCTTGAACTAATAAGCAGGGCCAGTAGCATGACTCATGTTGGGAGACTGCTGTCAGCCACAGCAGTATCTGTGGTCAGCACAGGAGCAAGTGTCCCCAGTCACAGGGGCTATGAGATGACAAGGGTATAGTTTTACCCCTGATTCCCAAAAAGCCCTGGCTGTTTTGCTGTCAAGGAGCTCAGAGACATGAGGAGGTCCCACAGCACCTTGCTGCTCCCCCTGCATAGAGCCAAGCTCAGGGCTGGCTGAGCTGCTGTCGGACTCCAGGAAACCACATCCCAGGAGTTAGGGGGAGCAAGGGCCAAATAAACCACCAAATTAAGCAAAGTAACCAGAGTAAGCCATGCAGGTATGTGCAAGAATGGGAAAGGACTCCACATGGACAAAAATGCTCTCTGGCTTAGCACCATGTCAGGTGCTCATGCTACTGTGCCTTAGAGCCTGTTCTGTAAAATTTATTAAAAAAGTGTTCACATACTTGATTTGGAATGTCTTAAAATGGCAATGAAGCCTATCAGAAAGATTCTTGACCTCTGGACACTTCAAGGAGCACACGTGTAATACTTTACACAGATTTTCCATAGCACATGAAGGATCACATCTAACTCATTAAACGTGTGGGAAGGACTTCAATCTGGCATAAATATCTCTGCAGTACAGAAGATTCAAGATTCAAAATTTATTCTCTCAGGAGTATAGGCAGATATAGGGGGTTTATTTTGTAATACTGAGTCTCTTCTAATGCCCAGGCCGTCATACACAGCTTATGTTAAAGGGTTTCTGAAAGAAATGTTGACCCAGGGAGTATAAAGTAGACTATTTCATATACTCCACTATGTTGAAAGTGACATGATTTGTGCAAAAAAAATTTAAGGTTTCACTTCTGGCTGTGGATGAGATGCACATGAACTTGCCAAGGATGGAGAAGGATATTTACTGGAATGATACCTCTGCCCGCCCACCCTACACAAAAGCAGCTGCTGATTACTGTATTCCCTCCTTTCTTGGATCAACTATTGAAATGGGGTGAGTGGCACTACGGGTCCTTAATGCCATCAGGAAGGTCACCGCCCCCACAGTCTGCACTGGCTGGCAGACAGTCAGTGCAGGGATGTGGGCTCTGATGATACTTCCAGTGGAGAAGGTGGAAATGGGAAAAGAAATTAGGAGGGAGTGGACAGGCTGGTGTTGGTGGGAGGGTGTCTCCAGTGGTCCATGTGTTCATCCAAGCTGTGCATGCATATCTTAAATTGTATAATCAATAAATAGAGCGTATTTGTAGGGAGGGTTTGTTGATAGTCTCTGAACACATATGTTGAGAGTCTCTGAGCACAGGATGATACCTGAAGACAATGACTGACTTACCTTAATGATACTTGCTTTGCTGCAGCTTCTTCATGCATCCCCAATTAGCAAAACAGCTATTCCTTTGTTCACTTAGTTAGCAGATGACAGCTGAAATCAGTCCAAACTTTTGTGAAGATCAACAACAAATCATCTTAAATGTTTTATGACTTTTCATTGACTAATAATCCTGGCACAGAAGTTGAAATGGCAGATTTTGTGAAGGTATGAAGAGGATTTATTTGCAGAGATCAGCAAAGAGCAATGGTTACAAAGACTAGAGGGTATGGGATTGCCCCCTGTTGTCAGGATCTATATGAGGAATCAGTGACAGGCCAGTTAGCTTAGAAGCTGTTAGTTTAAATACTTGTGACATGCTGTAATACAGACAGATCAATAAGCATAAATACCATCCTGACTGACAAAATACCAGGCAAGCAGATGTTCTCATCTGAAAACCTTTTTAAAAACTTTACAGAAGTCTTTTTTTAACTTTAAAAATTATCTCAAGATATTTATAATTTTCCCATCATTTCCCACCTTTATAAAAATAAAATGTCTTTAATTTTTTGTTTAATTTGGCTTTAAAATTGTGGTTTTCTCTTTTTTTTTTCTTCTTATTTTTTCATTTTTGCATGCATTCTACTACAAAGGACAATGGTTTTATCACACACAGCCTTTTCAGAGGTTATTTCCTTCTGGAAAAAATATAAAATGGCAAAAAGAAAAGTAAAGAAGGAAATAAAAAACTAAAGAAGAAAAATTCATAGAATATAATTTATTTTAAGGTAATTTCTAGGGGGAACAGGTGGCAAAGAAGAAACATCATTAAGTCTGAAAACAATTTTTTAATAAAAAAGTACTTCACACAAAAACTTAAGGAAGGAGAAAATGAGAAAAAGCTCCCTGATAGCTCCTGTGAAATGCAAACAGCTCTGATGTGTTGACTTTTTATTAATTATCTTCTCATGTGAACCGTTTCTTTGTTCATATTTCTAAAAATTATGGATAACTCTTATGCAAACTTCAAAAACAAGCTCTAAAAATTCTTCCAAGTCCAAAGCAAATATATAAAACTTGAGCGCAAATCCAAAGTCTTCTCCAGCCACCACAAGCTAACATCTGGAACAAGTTGCCTAAAGAGGTGGTAGGTGTCCCATTCCTGTAAACATTCAAGGCCAGGCTGGATGGGGCCATGAGCAACCTGATCTAGTTGAAGGTGTCCCTGCTCATTACAGGGAGGCTGGATTAGCTGCCTTTAAAGGTCCCTTCCAACATAAACTATTCTATGATTTTCCCGAATGCTGGATGAAGTTTCTCTGTCCCTCCAGGTTAGAGCTGCCTGCCTGTGCTCCATGCCTCAGGTTTGGCCCAAGCCCCTTTGCCATTCTTGTTCTTAGGCCAGGTAACTGAGCCAGTTTGGCTTGCCCAGACTGCACTGTCAGTGACGTGCACTGAATTCACTGGCATGTGCAGCAATAGTTGTTCTCATGAAGCACCAAGGCTGTGCAGGAGAAGAGTACCAGGTACAAGTGAGACCTACAGATACACTGTCATGCCCCAGAAGTAAGTGAGATTTGGCCATCTGAGTAATTTCAACTTTTTTTGAAACTGTTGTCCTCTGCTTCCAGCAGTAGCTTTTTCACTGTTGCTATTTTTCTTGAAGGATTCTCCTGAAAAAGTAACTACAGCACTGAGTAGGGTTCCTTTCTCCCCTTTCCCTCACCCTGGGCACAAGCCTAACCATGTTAGAAGGTTAGGCCTAAGAAGGCTGCAACTCAAATATGAAATGGTGCCAGATGCCTGGCTGGATGCCCTGCCAGCTTGGTCTGTAGGGGAAGAGACATCTAGATGTGGAGAGTTCTTTGTGTGATCTGGCTGATTCAAAGGCACAGACACTCTTTCCTGGCACCCTCATCTTTTTTTCCTTCTCTTTAGGGACACACTAGGGCCTTGGTTCCTATGTCTTGGGTCCTATGTCTGATAAATGTGTATTGATGCTTCCTATATTTAAGTGACATGTACTACCTGGCTTTACTTGGCAGGCTGGCTGATACCGAGTTTCTCTATGGGGAAGAGTGGCCTTGGGAAGAGGAGAAACACCAGAGACAGCATTCGGTTTTGAGAAGAGTCAAGAGGTTTCTCAGTGTCCATGAGGGTCCTTCATACCCCACTCACCAGCGCTACAGCCGGCAGACGAGTGAGAATTCAGTGTTTTTCCCAGCAGATGAAAAAGGGCACATCAGACGGCTGCAGGAGATGCACACAAGAGGGAGGCACTCCACCTTAAGCTTCAAGAAGAAACATGAAGGAGTTAGCAGAAGTAACAGACTTCATGGTAGCCGAGAGCTAGGACCCATAACAGAAACCTCAAGGAACGAGGCACAGTTTGGTGACAGTGACACCTCATCTGACACAGCCAGGCCAGTTCCTGAGGTCATTGTTTCTGAAGCCCAAGAGATTGAACGTGATGTGCTGGACAAATCAGACCTCCCAACAGAGCGCTCTGCAAGCATGCCAGAAGAGAAGCTCCAAAGGATCATAGCTGAGGCAAATGTGGCTCTTCTGAACCAACACTTTTTCCCCCCAGAAATGACTCCATACCTCTCAAGTTCAGAGGTGCATCAGTCACTTCCTAGTGTGATAGGAGAGCCCAAACATGAGCCCCAGGTTAGTAACATAGCTGGTCTCATAACAGACCATGAGAGAAACCTTCAGCGATGGAGTTTACCAAGCTTCCATAGTCCTAGTACAGCATCAAATGCTGATGATGAACCACCTTCAACAGATTCTGGAACAACAACTTCACCCCAAAGGACATTGAGAGATGAAAAAAATGGTACTTCTGCTTGTGCTCCACAAACATTTGACATGCAGGACTTATGGGAAAACCTGGACAGTAAAGAAACAGCCATAGTAGAATTTTCTAATGAGGAGAGTGAAAGAAAACTTTGACCATTCTTCCTCTGGGTTTGACTGAACTTCTTGTCTTCTCTTGAACAGGGCTCTCACACAAATTTGCTGAAAGTGCAGAAGGGCAGACTCAGTACTCAGACAAGTCATGAACAAGATGCAACAGAGGATTTGGGCACCTAAATAGGAGGCCTCATGGTGACATATTTTAAGCCACTTGGTCACTGGCTTGAAATCTGTGACCCTGTGGGAAATACATTTACAGAGAGTACTGGGAGCCTCAGGATGTATATGGCAGTGAGCTGTGCAGATGTAACTAGAGGAAACACTAGGGTTTTCAGAAGAGTGGGTATGGTTCTGTCTACTTTGGATATACACTGAACTCTGCTGCCTTTGTCTGCTCCGTCAGCTTAAAGTCCGTGACATCCCTGTAAGATCCACCAACAGTTTTCGTTTCTACTCAGGTGGCTCAAAGGCAAGATGTGGGCTCAGTTCCTTTCTCAGCCTGGACAGATTCAGCCCATCATCTCTCACTGCCTGGAGGAACACTTGAAAAATCAGGCCCCACATTTTTGTAGGACAGTATTCTGCCCCACACCTGATGAAGCTATGCCACTAAAAAGTAGAAAAAATAAAAGGATTAAATGTTTGATTTCATTTTAAGTAATGGAAGGTGCAAAATAGCTGATGAGCTGGGCATGGTATGTCTGAGCTCTGGAGCACATATGTGGCATACCCAGTGACAGTTTATTGTAAAATGAGGCTCCCAGGCAGCTTCCCTAGGGATGACAGGGCAGCAGCACTCTCTCAAGAGGTGATGGAGCTGAAGGTGCAACCAAGCCTAAGACTCCACTCTTGTGGAGCTCTTCAGCTGGAAGTGCACTGGCTGTAGTCATCCCAGGCAGACAATAAAGTGACCCATGACTCCTACCAAAACTGGTCTCCACTTCCGAAACCTCTCCCTCATTCCCATGCTAACCAGATGTACCACACACATTCTTAATTAACCCAAACCTGAGTCAGCATTAGGTGGCTCCTGTGGCTCCAGAGATGACCAAGCCACCTCCCCAAACCTGCTGATAGTGACCTGGCCTTTCAGCTATCACTCCTGCAAAAGAAGTCTTAAAGTAGGCCAGGAAAGCAGCCACAGCCCCTTGGGTTTAGCTCTCAGCCATGTTTACAAAAGTGCAGTCTGGAGCGTGTTGCCAACATTATCCCATCAGTGAGTAGAGGATAGACAAAGGAGAGACAAGGTAGCTCAGGGACTGAAAGGACAGAGAGGGGGGGGACCAAAAGTTGTGAGTCTGCAACAACCAGCAAAAACAGTATGGACTGCATGGACAGCAAGTTCATCAGCTCTCTTGCTCAGAAGGCTACACTTCAAAAAACAAACCAGCCTCTCTGCCATAGTAACTGGTAACACCAGTGGCTCCTGGGAGACTTTAGGACTCGCTGGACCTGGGAAGGGAATGAAAAGACCTACCTGCTCCTGCTCCTACAGCCAACAGCTTAGGTGAGGAACCCTTCTAGCTGGTATCACATACAGCAGGACCCTATCTCATCTGGGTGGGCTTTGAACAAAAATCAACTGCCCTCCCCACTTGTTCTTCTTCCAGCTTTATTTAAGCCTGGAAATTGGCTCCTGCTGCTGTTTGTTAGGCACAGTCTGAGCAGAGCCACGCTCTCAAACCCTCCAAAGACACTAGACAACAACACGTTTGTTTGTCCCATCAGTTCAGGAAGCAGAGGACACCTGGCCCAAGGAAGCACTGTTTAAACTCATATTATGTGAATTCCAGTTATGCAGGAAAGCCAAGCACAGATTTGCCAGGCACCTATGGAAGGACTTCTTCACACCATGGGATGAGGTGACACTGGTGTCTGACAGCAGCTTATTGAAATTTGATCACAGTTTGGAGTCAGGCGTTCTGGTGCAACCTCACACTTGCCACTCCACAAGTCTTCAGGCAATTCAGGTTGCTATGTTTAGGTTTGACCAACAAAATGAGAAACTCTGTGGAGTGAAATTATACAGAAATAAACAGCACCTTAGCCTAGCAGTCCAATTTTCTGAATGGCCCTTATGCAACTTGTGGAAGCATTCCCTTTTTCCTCCTGATTCCCTCTTTCTTGTAGCTGAAGCCACACTTTTCAATTCAGTGTTTCTCAATGTAATTGCCTCTGCAGCTGTCAAGGAACTTAATTTACCAATGTGCTTAAATAATAATAAATGGCTAATTTTAAGTACAAACAATTCATTTTAAGGACAGCCAGACAGCTCCAGTCACACAGCTAGAAACAAAGTAAAAGTAATTGCTGCTCTCCTCTATAGCACTTTTGTCAGAAGAGCAGTACAAGTTTCTGGGGAGTTTGGCCAGACATGTATAAGAAGGGTTTTCAGCAGCTGTAAAGGAAGCCTGGCCCACAATCTAGCTCTCTCCTCACAGTACATCAGCTTGAGGAGCTGTGCTTCATGCTGTACGGGAACTTAAGCCAGAAATTGGAGATGACTCTCAAGTGTCCACCACAAACCTGCACTGAGAGTCCTGTCCCACCATACCTGCTCCCTCCAATCCTTCACACAGCTTCCACCAGGGCTTAAGGTATTGGACCAAGATGCTCTTTGTCCCCAGCCCAGACATCAGCTTGTTTCATCCCAGCACTGCTAAGCATGAAAAGCCTTCCCAGCTTCTCGTCATCGAGCTCTGCTCATCTTCTTCTCAGCCTGGCTGCTGCCCAGGAGGCACACTGCTGCTTTCCACCAGAACATCATACATCTAATCAGCAATGATTTTGCTGCCTCTCCCACTCGCTCTGCCAGCACTCCCCGGCCCTGCAACAGTGTTCATTATTTGATGGAGGATGAGGGTGCCACACAGCAGCCATTAGGTAGGTAAGAGCTTAATTAGGAATTACAGCTCTGAAGTCACGCAATGCAATCTATAAAACATAACCCAGTGGGCCAGCTCCAGGTTAGCTACAGCATTCTGTTCATTGCTTCTAAAGAAGCTAGCGCTGGGATGAGTTACCAGAAAAATTTCCTCTTGTCATTTAGCCTGTTATCTCACTTTGGCAAACATCAGTGTACTCTGATTTGTATTAAATTGTCTTTTGGGATTATGTGCTCTCTTACATACTTCTCTCAGTAAGCTGTTTGCCTTAGCATGGTAAATGGAGTACTTTGGCAAACCCAACAAACTGCAATCCATGTTCACAGGTATTAGCAATCCTGAATTATTGCATGAATAAAGGCACTTTGAGACACACCATCGTCCCGGTTTTACTGAACTCTCAAGAAGCAGTTCTGGCAAGGGTTTGACCTAACATGCAAATCAACTTGATGTCTACCAGGAACAGCAAGGCACAGAAGCTGGCAAAGTTGGACAAGGATAGAACAGGGCCAGGATAGATGAGTAGGTCAGGGCAACAGTTGGCTCCAATCAGATGGTGTTAATCTTGAGCAAGATCAGATATATCAGAACAAAGAGAGGACTAGCCCCTGTGCATGCTGCCTGACTTTCCACCTGTTTCTAGGATGTGTTCCCACTCTGTGCTGGAATTCATAGAGCCAAGATGGGACTGACTGGCTGTGGGGACATGTCCCAACAACCTGAAAATCTTCTGTTGTAAATAACAGATCTCTAAGTCTGACTGCAAACTCATATTTATGGAACACATACATAGTGTATGTATAATGGAAATGTACCAGAGTGTTAAGTATGCTGCGTAGTAGAGAAAACAAAAATACCCTGCTGCTGTTAAATGGGGGATGGGGCTTTATAGATGTTTGTTTGTCTTGGCTCATGACCAAACAAATGACATTTTCTAGACAAATAAGTTAGCTTATGGTAAATCCACTGTTTAAGAGTGACATGGACAAAGGGGAATCAAGGCAAGATTGGCCTGAAATACAGGGTAACTTCACACAGCTCAGTCTCATCTGCAGAAAGAGACAGCTGGCAGCAGAGTCTCTTTTGCTAGAGGTTGATAGCCTGGATGCCAAATGTGTAACACAATGTGGCTGCAAATAGAGAGTCATGGAAACAGGCACCGGGGAGAAAGATTATTTCATATTGGAAGGCAAGATCAGTATTTAGAGATACCTGCAGGAAAACCATCCTGTTTTTGTAATACTTACTGAGTCTTACAACTGAAAACTTAAAATCTAAGGGGCTGTGATACCACCAAGACCAACAACTGATATTGTTTTTGGTCTGTGCCAGGCACGTCCAGACAGACAGCAGCAGCAAGTGCCTGGGGGCCACCAACTTCTGTTCCAGGGGCCACCATGGGGCCAGTCTCCACCTGCCCATGGCTCTGCCCTGCTGGGAAGGTGCCCTGTGCCCATGGCTGGGACTGCAGACATTTGCAGGCTCTAGGAAGATACAAGCAGCCCCAACATGCCAACACACTTTTTATCCTCCAGGACAGAGAGCAACCTGAATTTTCAATTGTTGTTCCACCCTCAACTCCCCTTCCTCCCAGCACTGGAACCACTGTAAAGAAACATAAAATGTAACTGAAACAGCACTAAGGTAAAGCAGATTTTGTTTGGTCAAGTTTTATTCATGTGTATGGGGGCAGTATCAGCTTTAGCAATCCAAACAAATAACCCAATGGGTAGAATTTAGGTGAATCTTTTGCCAAATCAGCGCAGCTACCTGTGGCTGTTCCATCTGAAACTCCTGCCACTGCTGACAAGAAGTGGCTGAGCAAGGGGCAGTAGATGTGTAGTGCTGGTGAGTGGGTCCCATAACTCATCTGAGGGGGAGGAACACTGGTATCCCTTTGCACGGGTGGCACTCTGGGTTTCTAATATGAATGGATGCTGCTCCGGCTGCTCACACTGCCCAGGGGGAGAGGAGTCAGGCACTAAATGCAGCATCTGACCTAAGGCACAGACATCAAATGCCGAGACCCAAAAAAGGAGAATTATCAAGGTATTATGAATCCCAGGGAAAAAGCAGGTCTGAGAGGTGGCGTAAGGAGCAGGAAATTGTGCAAGGAACAGTAGTTGAAATTAGTGGTGATACCACACAGGCATCAGTCAAATTCCCTTTTATATAAGCTGGTTGGAGCAAGCTAATTTAAAGAGAATTTCCATGGCACTCAGGAAATTAAGTTGAACAAAACCCAAACCCAATTCCAATGTAGGAAATGAGGTGGAAACTAGCACACAAGAAGAAAAAAAGGTAGCCAGACCAGGCACGATTAGGATTAGTTTTCCCCATACACAGCTGCTGTCTTTTCAGCCTGGCACAGTTCAGCATTTTTATTCTTCCTGATCTTTTGCAAATCTGAATGCTGACCAGCTCTGCTGCTTTATCCTGAGAGCTGTAGTGTTCATGAGTTACTCAGGAAAAATTGTTTCACCGATGTAAACATATAGATATTTAACCACACTATATCATCTGGGACAAGGATCACTGCAAAGTCCTTAAACTTAGAGAGGAACAACACAATGTGCATTTAGGTCCAGAGTTGCAGTAAAAGCTCTTCTTCACACATGTGTTGAAGATCATTACATTAACTTAAGACAGAATAAATGCTATTACAGCTCAGTAGTAATCCTTTCTGTGAACAGCTTTTGCAAATCCCACTCTGTCATTCCCACGGTCAAAAATACAGTAAAATGCAGACATGAAGACATCTCCTAAAATCCAGAGTGAGCCCATGCGAGTGGGGATGTCGAGAGACTGAAAGCCACTCATGCAGAAGGTTTGGTCATCAATAGACTCCTGGAAGGGAAAGCACATGTGCCTGCAGCAGCCTGCTCCATGCCCAGCTCAGGGAGAGAGGAGCAGGGAAGCTGCTGACACTCACCTTTATGATGTAGTGCTCTGCTGCCAGCCTGTACTCGTGGTGTCCGATCGTGAAGCTTATGTGAGGCAAGCTCGACAGTCTTCTGCAGTCTACGAGAAACTGGAAACAATGCACGGACTGAGATGGGATTGCTTTGTCTTTCTTCAAGTACTGCTCTTGGATTCAAGGCTTTTGGAGTAGGTCATAGTGAATTTACTACAGAGAAACAGCATTAGGCTGGCTTACAGCCTAACAGTGCCCTCCAGCTTTCGTGTACTCGGTCAAACCAGCCCAGCAGCCCAGACCACTGCACCCTAGAGACCCTGGGCTGATGAAAATCCTTGCAAGTCCCAAGAGAAAGGAGGTGAAGGGGCTCTGATATCCTCCCTGTGCAACTCAAAGGCAAAACTAAGCGTGTGAGCCCCAGCCAGCCTACATCAGCAAGGTCTGCTGAGCAAAAGTTCTCCAATGCTCTGGCCTTGACAGGGCAGAGGGAGCTGCTCAAGCCACAGAGGGAGCACCCTATGGGTGCAGTTCACCCCAGGTCCTCCCATATAGCATCACTTTAGGGGGAAAAAAAGATAGTGAGGAACACAGCACTTTGTGCTTATACTTTGCCCTGCAGTGGGATTTAAAGAGTAGAAGGACTAAACTCTGGCATGATCATTAATGTACATAAGTAACATATTCAGTTACAGTAACGGAGAAGATAATTTCCTGGCCTTTCTAGTTATTTCATTAAAAAAATGGTGTGGGAAACAAAACTATAGAATACTCCAAGTCCCAGAGGAACCTTTGCTGTAAACTGTAGTGTTTTAAGTCATTTTTTAGAGGCTTCTTAGAAGGAAAAATCTGCTTTTTGCTGTTTTTCAATCTATTTTATGAAAACATAACCCTACATCTTGTGCACACTTACCAAGTGTCATACCATTAGAACAAAACAAATCATGGGACAAGGGTACAAAAAGCCAGTAAAATGATTTATAGGATACAAGAAGCAAGACATAATTCTTTTACATAGCTATTACAGAATAGTACATCCAGAACAAATCAATCCTTGCTGAAAAGAGGTAGAAGTTCTGGTAAAACCCAGGATGGATGCACTCACTTTTACTGGGATAAATTTGAGTCAATATATGCAGTCTGTCTGTGATTGCTAAAAATCTGTCACAGAAACTCCTATTTTCAGGACGCTTTTTTGTGAAATCTGAGATACCAGATGAATGTTCTTAGGTCAGCACTGGTGTATATATGAACCTACACAGCAATGACCCATTCCTTGTTTGTATTAGGCTAGTATAAGTACATTGGAAATACATATTTCATCTGTGTTCATTAGCATGAACTGTTATAAAATCAACTTGTTATCAGAGCATACTCTTTGGCATGTATCTAAAAAGTTGAACAAAAACAAGATTAAAGGTTCGACTGAGAAAGAATCAGGAGCCTCAGGAGCTACACAGAGGTCACTGCAAGTCCTCCTCTTAAAAATGAAAGTGAATTAAGAGTCCACTTTAGTCTGCTCTATGTCCAGTGCACTGAGCACTTGCAATACTCTTAATTTTCTTCCAAGAGTAGCTTTGGGTCAGGATCAAGACAAACTGAGATTAGCTCAGTTGGTTATAACATGGTGCTAATAACACCAGGGCCATGGGTTTCATCCCTGTACAGGCCATTCCTGAGAGATGGACTTGATGATCCTCGTGGGTCCCTTCCAATTCAGAATATTCTGTGAAATGCAAAGTTAACAAAAGCCACACAGGGTTTGTTAACAAAGTTAACAAAAACTCAGCTTTGCTTGAGCACTGGAGCTGTGGCAATGTGCTGGTGACCTGTGGGAGTCTGTGGGAGTCAGCCAAGGGCCAGCAATAGGCATGGTAAAATAAACTGGGTGTAAAATAAACTGCTCTTTCCCTGGAGGCAGGACAGGAAGGAGTGGAGAGGAGTGTCAGCAAGGGAGATGCAGGAGGCAGCAGCAGGCAAGAAAGGAAAACCAGGAAAGGGTCAGTGGGGTAAGGTTCATGATGAAGAGTAAGAGCCAGCAAGCCTTGTCCTGTACCCTGCAAATAGCCAGCATTGTGAGTGACACTGATGTGCATCCCTCCCAGGAGCTCTGGCATGACACCAACTGCTGACAGTGAGGGGCCCTGTCAGTGAAGCCACTGTGGGGCTGTCATTAAAATACCATTCCTGACATGGCTGGCCATCAGCACCAAATCCCTCCTGGCTTGGGAGAGCCAACAGCTAGAGCTGGGGACTCAAAAAGACTCCGAGCTTCCAAAAGAAAATTATCTCTCATGCAGAGTACAGATCCATTCCTCAGTTCCCATTATTTCCTTACACACCAGTATAGAAGATGAAGTGAACATTTAGGAAAAGGACTGGGACAAGGCATATAGGTCAAAAGCAGCTTGGCTCAGAGCTCAGTGCTGTCCTGGAAACAAGGCTTTCACTGGCACCTGTCTAAGCCATCATTTCTGTTATTTTTCAACCCTTTGGATCATATACCAGTTTCTCTTCCTCTCTAGCTGTTTTCTGGCTGCACAGTTTTTACCTCTCCAGTATTTGATGGGCTTGCCCCAATATATGCCTGCAATCGCCTGATTTGTGAAGAGGGGCCGGTGATAAGAGAAGTGCCCGAGTCAACGATGGCTTCGCAGCCATGGGAGCAAAATGCCACCCGGCCCTGGATCTTTATACTGCAAATGAAAAAAGAAAAAAAAGCAGCTTTAAGCAAATGGCACATACACTGTGACTGAAACACTGTATTATTGCCAGCTAAAGCATCAGAGTACTGACTGAAGTTAATCCCAGAGAACAAGTGACAGGACAAGAGGAAATGGCCTCAAGTTGCACCACGGTAGATTTAGACTTGATATTAGGAAAAATTTCTTCACAGAAAGCATTGTGAAGTGTTGGAACAGGCTGCCCAGGGAAGAGGTAGGGTCACCATCTTTGGAAGTGTTCAAAAGATGTGTGAATGTGGCTCTGGAGGACATGGTTTAGTGATGTACTTGGTAGTGGTGCTGGATTGACAGTTGTACTCAATGATCTTAAAGATCTTTTCCAATCCTAATGGTTCTGTGTTTCTATGATTAAAACTAGCTGCCAAGCTTTGCTAAAGACAAGAATATCTGTGGACCCACTTTTCTCTCTTGAGACTCCTACAACTCTAATCATGTGCTTCCTGCTGATGAATTCGTCCTCACCCCCAGGTATGTGTTCTCATCAATTTAGGCAGAGTGCTAGAGGTGGGACAAAGGAACACAGGCTACTTTGACCAAAGTTAGCAGGACAGATGAAAGCAGGACCCAGAGCTGGATTCTATTCCTGGGTGCCTTAACCTCTTAACGGAACAGTCCACCAAGACTCATCTTGACCACTGGTGTATCATATTAAAACATACTAACATGCTCTCCCAGATACCAGCCACCCAGGTCACAGTGGATTTACAGAAGTAACAAATCCCAATCTCATCCTGGTAAACCCCTCTTTGAGGGGCTAGAATACTGCAGCTGAGCCCTCCTGCTCCTGTGCCACCAGGTGTTTCTTTCTCTGGGGGTTTAGCTAGGGAGGTGAATTTCACTGGTTTTTTAAACATACATACATACATACATACATACTTGTTCATGTGTATTTGCCAGTAGCTTTTCTCAGTGACTGGGACCCAGTGGATTGAACCTTTGTAGAGAGAATGGTCTATTCCCCCCAGAATCAACTCACCGCCGTTCTCGGTGTCATCTCCTCTGAAAGCAGAAAACAGGTTAACACAGGCATGGGAGCATGCCAGTATGCAAAATGAGATTACACTTAAAAAGCAAAAGTCAAATCACAGCCCTTTCTTAATTCAGATATGGATGGCTGAAAGGGATTACTACTAAATTATCACTGTATGTGTTCCAACTCATACTCTCCAAACAACCTCTGAGAAGACTTAATGTTGACATCAAGGTAGGCATGGGGAGCAAGCTGAGCCAGTTGCTACTCTCAGCTCAGAGGAAACACTAAAGAAATAGGTGGAGTTGCAGCTGGGTCCAGATTAGGGACCAGTATTTTTCTGAAATGTGGCTATTTGGGTGTAGCACAGCACTTCTGCTCATCTGCATGGGCCAGAGGGAAACCTCTGGCAACTGACATGGTGAGTCTGAGCTGGGAACTTTTCTTTTATTTATGACCTGCTCCAACAAGAATAAATCTTTGTCCAAAAAGTCATGGTCCTCTCCATAACATTTTTTTTTCTTTTCATGCTATAATTTTCAATGTCAAATTGAAAACAAAGAAACAACACAAAGAATCAAAAAAATGGGGGGAATGTCTTTCTAGGGTTGAAGCTTTATACAGATGCACAGCTGTTTCTATCAACAGTTAAAATAGATTTACTTCTTTTATAGCAGTGTTATTTTAAAGACAGACCTTTTCAGATAGAAAGAGAAGACTGGCTCCTCTACCAGCTGCTGGTTCATGATGCTGTCAAACACAGGCAGAGCATTGCCCACTGCTAAGGAGGGGTAGCCTAAGCCCAGTACACCATCAAAGTGGGCAAGGACAAAAGTTGTTCCTGGCTCAAACACTGACTCGCCAAAGTCCTGTCCCTTGATGGAGATGTTACTTATCTGTTTGGTAAAAAAAAAAGACACAACCACCATCAACCAAACAAAGAAGAACCAGAACTGAAAGTAATGACACTACCAATAACAAGAAATTAGCCATATTTCTGATCCATATCAATGCATTCATTCAATTTATAAAACCTGGCTATCTTTTTGTGACTTGCATCAACATAGCACGCGCCCATTTGGCAGGTAGGCAGCACTGATTCCTTAGAATGCCTTAATTATGTGGCTGCTTCTTCATTAGCCCAGAAGAAGATCCAAGAAGACAAGTAGAAATGAAAAATAAAATGTGATGCATTTGTGCTGGTAGTCCAAAGCTGAAGCAGAACCCACACCTCTCAGCTTGGTGGGACCTCAACCTGCCCTTGCCTAAACCAGGAAAGGTTTTCCAGGGCAAGGAAACGGAAGTGCCCTGCAAACAGCTGATCTGGAGGCTGACAGCCATTTCTGGGGGACACTCACCTGCAGTGTGTCTTTGCCAGCAATGCCCAGAAGCTGTCCTGAGCCGTACTGCAGGGAGAAGGCTTCCCCTCCATGCTCATATGAATCTGACTTGAAGGACTTAAATTTCTGGTGCACCCCTACACAAAAAAAATATGACACTTCTACACTGAGGGGAGGTCCTGGCAACCCACCCACTCCCCAATGCAGAACAAGATGAGATGTAGGAAAATGAGATTTTTGCTTCTCTCAAGAGAAAAGTGTTGAAGAAGTACTGCAGGCATCTCACTTCCCCTGCAGACATCCCAGTTTTTCTGTACCTGAGAGGTAATTTTGCATTTTAGAGAAAAATTAGAACAGAAATGGGCATTTCCACCTTTGTTGGCAGATCTCCCAGGTCTATTTTCACACCTTTTACCTCATGGTGGGTGCAGAGGGACTCTGGGCAGTTGCAGCCAGTGCCTGCCCTGGCTGCAGAGTGCCATGAGGGACAGAGGAGCAAACTGGGGAGAGGAGAGCAGCCCTGAGGGATGCTCCAAACCCTCCCCTTGCAGATCCCAGCTGCAGGCAAGCATTTGGGAAAGGAGAACTGGGCAAGGTCTCTGCAGCCAAGCCAAGAGAAGTACCAGGGAGAGCACCATTTCTTACGGCAGGCCTCGCTGATGCAGTAGGCGGATGGGACCCAAAAGTTGGAGGAGCCGGTGTCGAAGACGACGGTGAAGCTCTGTGGCGGTGTCCCCACGCTCACCACCCCGTAGTACTGAGCCTGCGGGAGGAATGAGGCCCTCAGCCCCGGCAGCCTCCAGCCGGCCGCTCTGAGGAAGAGCCGGGACCGGGAGCATCCCACAGCGCTCCCTCAGGGCCTTCTGTGCAATTGCGTTTGAACGGGAAGGCACGGCACACCGAGCGTGTCTGGAGCATGACGGAGGCATTCTCCTCTTAGCCCTCACCGCAACCGCCTTCCTAGGATATGTCCTACCATGAGGCCAAATGTCATTCTGAGGAGCTACAGTAATCACAAACCTATTCTCAGCAATCCCCTACATTGGACAAACACTAGTCGAATGAGCCTGAGGTGGATTCTCTGTTGATAACCCCACACTAACTCGATTCTTTGCCCTTCACTTCCTCCTCCCATTCATCATCACAGGCCTCACACTCGTCCATCTCACCTTCCTCCACGAAACAGGATTAAAGAACCACTAAACATCCCCTCAGACTGTGACAAAATCCTGGCAGATCCTAGGGGGTCGAATCTGCATTCGTATGGGGATCGTTTTTCTGAGTCGGGGGTTATTTGGGCGAGTCAAAAGTTTAGTGCAGTTAAGAGGATGCTTAGGGTTAGTGATAGAGCCAGTATGAATAGGATTATGTTTATTACTGTTCTCTGGGTTTAAAGCAGATTCTAAGGATTGGAAGTCAATTGTAATTAGTATACTAGAAGAGTAAGATCCTCATCAGTAGATAGAAATGTAGAGCAATAATCATACGACGTCTACGAAGTGGCTTCGAGCAGCAGGTTTTACTGCAGCTGAATGAAAAACGTGTGGCATTTGTAAAGCCTTTTAAGCAAATATTCAGCTGGGCTCCCTATGGAGTCAGCAAACCCTCTTGCACTGGCTTCAGAGGTGACAAGGTCACCCTCAAGATGAAACTCTCACATGAGCACACAGACTTTCAGGCTGCTCCTTGCTGATGTCAATAAGAAAACAGTGTTGCAAAGTCAGGACGGCCTGCCCCTGCCAGCTTCAGAGGGCTCTGACCAGGGGCACAAACACTGTCTTATGTGGCTGCCCTTTTTCCTTGTAATTAGCAGCTATTCTAGCAAGTCAAAAACTATTGTGTTGCACAAACTGTTCCTGATGTACTGGACAAAGTTCATCCAGCAGATGAAGAAACCACTGACCATCCCTGGATACCAATTGAGACTGAGATAATCTGTGAACACGTGAATGCTGGAGTGAAGTGCTTATCCACATCCCGAATACAAGTGTCTGAGTGCTCCTATCTGGCCCTGGAAGAGCATTTCAGCATTAAGAGACCTATTTTTAGGAAGAGGTATTTCTGGAATTCAACCACAGATAGAAGAGCAATAGCTAGTGCCAAACTTTTTTCAGCAATACAAGTATTTGAATATGTACTTCAAGTGCACACTTGTTAATTAATAAACTGACGTTTCTGACCCCAGAATAAGCAGTCTGAATGAGACAATCTTGAAAGGGCAAGCAAGCATGCCATTTAAGAGAATATCCAACTATACAGTAGGATTCTATTTCTTCCTGCATTAAACAAACCTAAGTGATGTTCATTAAAAAAAAACAAAAACAAAAACAAAACTAAAACACATACAACCAGAAACCCCACATACACACTGCAATAAAACCGTTCCTGGTGCTACCTGAATATGCTGGGGAAGTGGGTTTTGCTTTGTTGTTTTGAGATTTTCATTTATCCCTCTTTGAAATAAGCTTTAGAGCAGGTTGAAGTGTTTCAGTGTCCTTTGTTCTTCTTCACATACTTATTTCTTTATGGCCCTCAAGTGTCAGTAAGTTCTTGCTGAATGAATTTGGCCTTCCCTTCGATTCCATTTCCTGTTCAGGTGAAGACTTCACAACATTTCTGCAGCTTAGTTTCCCTTCAGATAAGCATAGCAGAAAAACCAAATAAAACAGAAAACAGAGACCATCCAAATGGACAAAATTCCAAAACCAGGAAAGACAGCTTACAAAATGGTAGACCTGCTGACTTGCCTGTCTGAGATCCAGAGAAATTAATATATTTTCCTTTTTCAGTTTAGATGGTAAATCCGCCCAGGTCAGTCTCCAATATTTAATACATATTAAACTCCAGAGATAAAAGCAGAAAAATAAAAAACTCTACTTAAGTCTTTATCATCACTGATTTGTGATTCCACCTGATCAAATAAATGAGATTTGAGGGATTTTTTTAAACCACAGAAGCATCCAAGAGTCTGGTAAATAGAACATGACTAAATGAAGCAATCAGATTCTGCTGTGAAAAACCCTGTAGTTTGCCAAGACTGATACAGGCAAACCTCCCATATTTCTTTGGGGACCCAACCAAGTCCACTACAGATCTGTACAAAAGGAAAACTTGTCACAGGACTACCACTGCTACTCTACATCAGCTTTCTACTCAGGTCCCATGCTATCCTAGATCTAGACATGCTTTATTTTGCAGATTGCAACCTGGTTTTTTATGATCTAATATTTATAGCATAAAGCAACAAGACACCACAAGCTCTATAATTTCATTGACAGACTAGATTTGAAACGTGCTGGGAAAAGAACCCTGCCTCCAGTAGAATGATGAGTCCTAATGATTGCATTACCAAAACTGTACTTACATTCATGTAATCATACAGCCTTTCTGAAGCAGTTCCTACTGATAAAGCAATATCTGCTGGGAAACAATGCAGATACCTCCGGGCAAAAACATCAGGGTGGTGATTCCTCCAAAATTCCTCTAATTCTCCCTTTTCCTTCAGCTGTTTCTTGATAGATTTGAATCGAATCAAAGGGATTCTATGCAAATAAAATAAACACACAAAAAAAACTGATCGTCCTTTCTAGAACTGTTATATATTCCATCTATTTAAAAAAAAGGTTTATTTTTTGAGACCTCAAGTAGCAACAAGCAGAGGTCACCCATGAAGCCAGCTGTGTGCCAGTGAAGGCAGAGGAGTTTTCTTACCGTTCCACAGCCACAATGAGCGGGATGTAAACCACTGCCAACAGTATTGCCCTCATGGCTCCAAGAGGTTCAGAGTCTAATGACACTCCTTTGCTCACAAGTCCCTTTTTTATGGCCTGCTGTCAGCTGAGGGCTGCTCGCCAGGTCAATCAATCGCAGGAGGTCAGTGCTTTGGCAGAAAACTGATTAATTTACCCTCAGACTGGTTTGTGCAAATAGTGATGTCCAGTGGAGCTACTCAGATAACCAGGGCACAGTCTAGACCAAACGGACATTTAACCAACAATCCTTAATGTCTTTTACATAAATATAATTCATGAGTTGAGCTTGGCTCCTTCTAGAATGAGAAAGAGGAAGCTGTCCAAGCACTTACTGCTTTTCAAGCTTGCTTTTGTGAGATGTTGCTCAGAAGTGCTCAATGCAGAGAAAGAGGACATAATATACATCCATTTCCCTTCTGCAGGAGACATTTCAGCAGGGCTGAGAAGACATTTGGTGGGCTTGTGACAAGTCACCTCCTAACAGCTGAAGTTTAATTCCCGATCTGTGAGAGAGTTCCAGTCTAAACATAAATGTGACTGCCATGCCATAAAATGGATCTTCAAAGTAAAAAACACAACAGTACAATACTGCAACATACAGTAAAAACCAGCAATAATTTTGCACACATTTCAGCAAGACATTTCGAAGAGCTCTCTTGGATTTATTTTTGGGCAAGTTTCCTGGGGTTAGTGGCTCCCACTCCTGCAGGTGGGTTCAAGTCTAGCCTGCAGAGAAATAATGGTGTCAAAAAGAGGCTGATTTGGCAGAGCATAACCCCCAGCCTGTCAGCTGCCCAGGAGGAAGCAGAGCACTGAGTCTGCAGTTTACTTGCAAGACTTTTTGAATCTTTCCTCTGCAGAAGAAAGAGCAGTAAGCAGCCACATATACAGCCTAGCATATACTAAAGCTAACTTTGAATAATCAGCCATTTTTGTTCAAAAGGCTATGGTAGGATGCTGGGAAAAGAGAAACCACTTTTTTTTCCTTCGCAACACACCATGTATTTAAAATAAACTGTTCACTATGCAAAGGTGAACTGGAACTAAGGAATTCTCTCAAAAGAGAGCAGATGTGCAACAACGCAGCAAGGAGTGAATGTCAAAGGACACGGAGGAGGCAGGAGTTGTCATCTTCTGCTCCAGCAGCAATGTCAAGAAAAAACAGCAGAAAAACCCAATCACACAGCATTTGTGAGCCAAGAAGGGGTCTAAATGCCCATCACAGACTTCAAATAAATAGAAAGCAAATAAAAATTGCTCCTTTAAGTCACTTCCCTTGCTATGTCAGACTGATTGAGTATGAGTATGAGAGCCTTAAAATCAATAAGTTTAGAGCTCTATTTATTAGTTGCCCCAGATTTTGAAATACAGTTTGCTTTTTCCAACATACCTCCAAAATTGTAAGGACTAAAAAATCACAGCAAAGGCTGAGCCTGGTCATCACACAGCTGCAGGCAGAGCTTTGGAACTGAAAAAGCACCAGCATCTCTATTATAATATCTTGTTTCAAAAAATAATAGAATCTCAAAAATGCATCTTTTCTGTTGATTTCTATTTTATTCTAATTTTTTTTCAATTATCTATCTCTGAGTAATATTCCCCATTTCTCCTGAACTCAGAGGTTTTAAACAAGTTTTACAGCAAATGATCACATTTTCTGCCCCACAGTCATCCCAGCCACTGAGCTGCAAGAGCTGGGTGCTGGAAATGGGAATGGTGAGCAAAGATTTGTGAAATCTAGAAAGAAAAGGCATTTCTCAAGGAGCCCCCACCTGTCACTTGATGCACAGCAGAGCAGATGTCATGCCCTTGGGTAGGGCAGCGCTGCTTTGACAAGAGCAAGACAATGTCTGTGCCGAGTGCCTTTATCACTTGAACTTTTCCTCAAATGCTGCAAATGCTTCTGGGAAGTCGATAATGTTCCTGTTGGAGGGCACCACGGTGACTTTGAAGACATGAAGCTTTCAAAACACCACCTGGGTCTACTGTGAGGACTGCCTTTGCCTTAGTGCCTCCACTGAGTGGCTAATTCTCAGAAAGAACACGATTGTTCATTTTACTGCAAGTGTAGTCCTTCATTAATCCGCACACAGAGGTTATTCTTTCCCAAATTCTCTGATCTCACTCTATGTTCCAAGCAGACATTAATTTAGCTAACAGAGGTACAAAATGCAGAAACAAAAGGTCATTGTGACCTTTTTTGATAAGCTGGAATAATGATTAAACTACAGTGCAGAGGATCCCTAAGAAATAGTTATCTGCAGCTTAAAAGTTCCATTAAGGAGAAATAATTCAAGTAGAAAAAAAAATCCACATCCATATCTGCAGACTTAGTACTTTGCTAAGTTATTTGTCTACATATGGATTATTGAGAAAAAATATGCCTAAACTATACCATTGATATATTCTTAGCTATCCTCTTGTGTTGTTATCATTAGTAGGTTGTCTGAAAAAAATTTGTCAACAAGACAAGGCTTTGCTGTGGATGTCTATTCATCATTAATTATGCCAAATGCATTTGGTTTTCCACACCTTTAGTCTATAGTGCCTTAAGGGGAGGGATGTTCGCCTTCAAAAGGTGCCATGGCTGTTTAGAAATGAAAAGAAATACAACAATCTGCTGACAAATTCCCCACAGTGGTCCTCTGACAGGCCACAGAGCATCAAAGGAGTAAAGTGTCTGAAAGGAGATTCTCATGCAGTGCAAACTGGCTTCTTCTGGGATGCCATGCACAGCACATCCCACCATCAGAGAGGGAACTTTCAGGCCCTCTATTCCACAGCACCACCACGGATGACTGTGCCATCATCTTTGTTCTCCAGGCTCGATGCCCTGCCCAGCTTCTCCATCTAAAACTGATTTTATGGCACTCAGGTCTCAGCACTGACTGCTCTCTGTCCTGTTGCAGAACTGCTCCCCAGGTGCCCTCTCTATTGTTCTCCTCCATACATTTCATAGCATCACTGCTGCATGGCACAGCCACTCATCTTGTGGGGAAAAGGCTCATAAACATCCTATAGCCTATACCCAATTGATAGCTAAGAGCTGCTTTACATTTGAAAGCAAGTGATAGTAGAGAGCTCTATATAACTAGATTTGACCAGAAATCCAGAGGCCACCTTAAGTGGTGCCTGTTCCTCAATTTTCTACTTGCTCAGCCTTTCATTTTTCAAGAGTGTGTGGCTCTCAACAGTCACAGATTTTGGTACTATAGCACCTAATACCTCAAAACCAATTGCAGATTATTCAAAGAAAGTATACTCCCTAAATAAGTGTGGGAAATTACAGCAATGAGCTGTAGATATCAAAGCAAAGAGCCAGGTGGTGAAAAGGCTATTTTCCCTTAAAACACTCTGCCAGCTTTCACATCCAAAGCTCATGGCAGAGCTATGGCCAACACACAGGCAGAACAACCACGGAATGGGTTGGATTGGAAGGAATCTTAAAGATCATGTAGTTCCAACCTCCCTGACATGGCTAGGGACAAATACGAGTCCCCAGGAAAGCCTGAAATAGCAGCAGCTCAACATGTCAAACTATGCAGAGGTTCCTATACATGGGAATGCTCCCATGTAGAAATTAGAACTGAACAGCAAAATGGGTCATGATGTGACTAGAACAGTTTACACTGTCACATCTACATAGCCATAACTTTTCAAAATCAGACTTATTGCACTCATAACAAGTGAGAATCTTGATGGAATCCATGGGAGTTTCTTGACAGATTTTGGTACAGACACAGGAACTGCAGTAGCACAGTTGGAAAGCAGAGGGAGAACAACCTTGGCAATTTGTGATAGCATATTACACTGAGATTCAGACAAGGAGTAAAACAATGTAATGAAAAAGGCCCTACACAATCAAGAGTGCCAGAGGCTATAATAAATACCATTAAATTAGGAACATAAACAGTAGAACCACTCAAGATAGCAGTTTGCCAAGTATTTGTGTTAAAGCTTTAAGATAAGTACTGGGGTGGCAAATTACACTCTGAAATCCATGTATTTGGCGCCTTTCAAAATACATCCCTGAAAGTGCCACTCATCCGGAAAGTCAGTCAAGTCTTGACAGGTATTTTAAACAACAATTTGATTATATCCGACATTTCTGCTTAAAGTTTCATGGAAGTTAAATATCTAAGCTTAAAACTTCAGTCTGCTGTGGTGTTTACTTTCCCAAGCCCATCCTTGCTGCCTGCATTGGCTACACAGACAGCACAGCTGCAGCAAGAAGTGAGGGGCTGGGGCATTGGCGTGACCCTAATTTTGTCTGGGGCAAAATCAGAGAACATTTACAGTGTGCAAGAGGAGGAAAGAAGGAATGCTTTCAGGGGGAGGGCGAGCATGTGGGAGTGTGGGTGAGAGAGGGAGACCTGGGCCCTGAGTCGTCCTGTCTATAATCCCCGTCACCAAACACTCAGTCAGTTATCAGAAGCATTTCAGAGCCCTTGAGATTAATGGCTGGTGCCATGTAAACAGAGCCTTATATTGGGAAGAACGAGTTACCAACAAGCCAGTGTGCAGCAGGAGACCAAGGCAGCCTCCTGTCCCTCACAGTCCCAGCCATCTCGAGATGGGCAACAGTTTGAAAGCCATACTTGCATTTGTGCCCTCTAACAAGTGCCAGAAGTACCTCCTAGAAGACCTAGAAGAGATGCCAGTGGATAAAATGGTCGATCTGAGTGGCAGGCAGATGAGGCGGCTGCCTGTGCACATCTGCTCTTTTAGGGAATTGGTTAAGCTGTACCTGAGTGACAACAACCTGAACCATCTACCTCCCGAGCTGGAGCAGCTGCAAAACCTGCAGATCTTGGCACTGGACTTCAACAACTTCAAAGCACTGCCCCTAGTTGTGTGCACACTGACGCAGCTGTGCATCCTCTACCTGGGCAACAACAAGCTCTGCAGCCTGCCCCTGGAGCTCCGACTCCTGCAGAACCTGAAGACGCTGTGGATCGAGTCCAACTGCCTGCAGTACCTGCCTGAGGTGGTGTGCGAGCTCAGCCTGCTCAAGA